CTTTGTGTTAAACAACGGGAAGAATCATCTGAACACTTTTGATGAGAAATCAGATGAGGCCATCTTCCTAGGATATTCCATGGTGAGCAAGGCATTCAGAGTCTTCAACAAAAGAACCATGATCACTGAAGAGTCAATACATGTTATTTTCGATGAAAAACATGTGGTTGACAAGCCATCAAAGCATGATCATGAGGTTCTGGATCTCTCAGACAAGGATGAAGAAGTCAATGAAGGAGATAGAATAAAACCTACGGAGTTCATTCCATTCAGAAGTCTACCACTGAAGACTTCACAGAGAAATCCGGATTTAGACAGTGTTGAGCCTTCCGGAAAGTTTGGCCAGCCTTCCAACATTCCGGAACTCTCAAACGGTGACAATTCCGGAAATGGCGACCCAGTGCCAATCCATCCGGAAACACCAACAACTTCTGTTCTTCAACCAGAAGCTGAACTAAATCAACCAGTCAATCCCAATCAACAAAATCTTCGTTGGTTAAGGGATCATCCTCCTCAACAAGTCATTGGAGATATTCAATCTGGTGTTCGCACAAGGAGTGCCCAACAGAATCTAGAAGCTATGCTTGCTTGTTTCATCTCACAAGTAGAACCAAAAAATATTGAAGAAGCTCTAGCTGATTCTGATTGGATCAATGCAATGCAAGAAGAACTCAGCCAGTTTTCCAGAAATGATGTCTGGAAACTTGTTCCCAGACCTACTCATCAACATGTCATTGGGACAAAGTGGGTCTTCCGGAACAAGATGGATGAAAACGGCGTTGTTGTCAGAAACAAGGCCCGATTAGTTGCAAAAGGATATTGTCAAGAAGAAGGTATAGATTTTGATGAAACCTTCGCTCCAGTTGCTAGACTTGAAGCTATAAGGTTGTTTCTAGCCTTTGCTGCTCATAAGGACTTCAAGGTCTATCAAATGGACGTCAAAAGCGCATTTCTCAACGGAAACCTAGAGGAAGAAGTTTATGTGGAACAACCTCCAGGATTTGAGTTACACACTAAGGGAGATCAAGTGTATAGACTCAAAAAGGCACTATATGGACTCAAACAAGCACCAAGAGCGTGGTATGATACATTGTCTCAATTTCTTATAGACAATGGATTTGCCAAAGGAGTCATTGACAAGACATTGTTCAAACTACAAGAAGGAGAAGATCTCCTATTAGTCCAAATCTATGTGGACGACATCATATTTGGCTCAACTAAGGAAAATCTCTGCACCAAGTTTTCAACCCTCATGCAAGGAAAATTTGAGATGAGCATGATGGGGGAACTCAACTACTTCCTTGGCCTTCAAATCAAATAGAGAAGTGAAGGCACTCTCATCAATCAAGCCAAGTATACAAGGGATCTTATCAAGAAGTTCAAAGTAGATCAGAAGTCATCCGTTTCTGTCCCCATGAGTACATCCACCAAGCTTGATATGGATGTAGATGGAAAGGATGTAGATCAAACTCTCTACAGAGGAATTGTCGGATCTCTACTTTACCTTACTGCAAGCCG